ACAATAAACTGTATACTAGTGATTTGTTTTGATTCTGTAAATAAATGATCTAGTTTATTATTAGATCAAACTAAAGTCACTATGTTCATCTTGTGTTTTGTTATTCACTTGCACAAAGAAGATACTTGTTCCAAAAATAGAAGATCCCGTGATAAAAAATTTCCTTATAGCTTTTGTTATAAGAAGGCGTATATTCATTACACTGGTCAGAAATATGACATCACTTTAGGGTGAAACATTTTAAACTATTTAGTTCTTAAGATAAATATTTTGTTTTACTAAGAGCACCGTAGATCTTAATGAGAAAGTTACAAATTTCCAGAAAAACACGCTGGTTACTTGAAGCACACGGGACGATAACTAAATCATATTAAATCTAATGCTACGTTCACACCGAACGCGTTTTGAGCAGCAAAAATGCGCCCAATGCCTCAAGTTGGATGAGCTGCATTCAGAATGGGACACAGACTAGACGCATGTCTGAAGAGGGAGGAATGTCTTGGTTTTTTTTCCCGGTCTGTCTTCGGCGGATGAAATAAAGATAAAATAAGTAAAATGGTTTTGCTTTATTTACTAAAGAGCAAGCGAACATTGTGCACACCAGATAATTAATTCACCAAATAATTCAGAGGCGGTCTGATTGGTGAGTTTCACCACTCCAGGAGCTGCGTGCTGACAAACTATTTTTTTTCCCGAGCCCAGTTTAACCCCACGGTCAGTTTAATGAGCTGCTTGCCCACATTGGTGCATATCTCCTGCCAGAACACCAACTGCAGATGGTCGATTTCAGCTAAAGAGCTCCTGTCCGTCAGGTTAGTGAGCAACTTTCAGGAAACCATTGCATGAAAAAATGAGTCTCTCTGATTGGTTGACTCAGTGCGTTGAGCAGCAAAAGTTCAGATTTTTGAACTCGAGGATCGGCTGCTTTGAACACACTGCATGCACGGAAAACACTCAACCGCACCTTCCGCTTCCTTGCGCGCCACTGTAAATGGACTTGATGCACCGCGAGACCCCTAGAGGTGCGTCCACCATAGACTTTGTATGTAAACCGGCCGCTCCTGCAGCTCAAAACGCATTCAGTGTGAATGCAGCATTACGGCTGGTTCGTACTTCAAATCTACATCTTGCTGATGCTGTTGCTGATGAAAATGGTGCAACTCCTGTCTGTTATCTCCCGCTGACCCCCTGTCAGGAACTTTGTCTCCAGTCAGAACTCTGTCCTACAGACCTCTGCAGCTCATYGCGTGATTGGGCAGAAGATTGTGGGTGTTTGTTAAAGCAGATCAGAGCATGTTTCTATTGCATGTCACTTTGCTTAAAATGGTCCACTTCCTAAAGCCTGGTTTTATATTTGCAATATCTGTGTTCCCATTGTATAACTAACTGTAACAATGACAGTATGTAAACTCCTCGAAGCCAAAACCCAAAGTCTCCAAGCCAGTCCCCTGCCAGTCTCTCCAAGACTGAGATCAGCATGCTGGGTGTCACYTAAGGTTGGGTACTGAAACTCYGTTCCGGCATGGCACCGGGGCAAACATCAACAGTAGTACACAGACCAAAACACAACTCTAACTTTGGTGCCTCAAAGAAAGCTGTTAATTTGCGCCCTCCGGTGTTCACTGTTAACAGTGACAGCCTCGGCACACAATCTCCACAGATTCTCTTGTACGCGGTTCAACTCGCCTCGTCTCGGCCCAATGTGTCTCTCCTAGCGCTCCACAGCRGCGCTGTCTCAGAATCTCCTCTCAGATATTGTCCGTATATGTGATGTATACGGACATATCAMTGCATCGGATAGTACCGTATCTTTATGCTTTTAGTCCAGTGTTCTTAGTTCTGGACACCAACTTATTACATCATAAGTTTGTACAACTTTCTATAAACTAAAGTTCTAAATATTTTGTTAGTTCTGGTGGGTCTGCAGTGACGGTGCTAAAAGACTCACCAGTCCTACCACTAGAAAAGGAGCTGGAGCCGCTTTGAATCTCAGCTTTTGTAACTTAGCCATAATTTAAAAATTTCTGATAACTATGTGTGATACTTGGAGTTTTATTCACACTTTATGTTTGTTTTGCAATATTTTCCTGATAACTGTACAGTATCTAGTACTACTAGGCTTCACCTCAGTGTGCTTCATCACAGGATGGCTGGGCGATGGAGTCACTGACACCCTCAATGCCAAATAACATAATCACTCTACATCCAGAGCTGTAAGGAACAAACACAGAGTGTGTGGGAGAGAAAGTGTAACCTGACTGAATGCACACACATCACCTCCCAAAGAGAGAGAGGATCATCAGCAGCATCTGGATGAGTGTGGATGAGATCACTGACACACAGCATTCCCAAGCAAATGATCTCATACACTCACTCACTTACACACCCAAACACGTTAGTTCTTCTATCCTCATGGGGACTGTGTTGACTTCCATTCATTTACCGGTCATTTCTACAGCCTAGCCCTGGCCTCTTGCACTAAACCTAACCTCACAGGTACATACCTGGCTCTAAACCTAACCTCATACTGTACATACCTGACTGTAAAACTAACCGAAACTCAATTAACGACTTAGTCCTAACCCTAACCCCAGATCCACCAACGGTATTTTCCCCAATGGGGACCAGGCTTTTGTATCCATAAGAACGGTGAGTCCTCACCAGGCTGTGTACTGGGGAAATGACTAAAAATCATCTCCTCCATGTAACACAAAACTGTACACAAACAGACTCATATGCCCACACACACACACACACACACACACCTAATATGCCTCTCTATCCTTGAGGAGACTTTCTATTGACATCCATTCATTTTTTGGAAATTTGATAGCCTAACACTGATCATTTACCCTATAATTAACCTCACAGGTGACCATAAAACTAACCTAAACTCAATTCAAACTGGTCGTAAACCTAACACCCCACTAGGRTTGGGTACTGAAACTCGGTTCCAGTATGGACCGGGACGAACATCAATGGAGGTAAACAGACTGAAACACAATATTAACTTCGGTGCCTTATTTCGGTGCCTCAAAGAAAACTGCTAAATTGCGCCTTCTTGTACGCAGTTTGACTCGGCTCAGTCTCGGTCCAATGCGTCTCTCCAAGCACTTTCCACAGCCGCACTCTTTCAGAACCTCCTCTCCAGTGGTTTGGGTAGAAGCGAGCACAGCACGCTTACAATTTTGACGTCAGCAGAATGCTGCCCGTGGATTAACTCTTGGATTGACTGGCAGCATATTTCCTCCTGGAAAGAGATGCTTTTGTTTAGGAATACGAGCATGCGGCGCGATACGACATGGTGAAGGCAGTGATAAAACTGCCTTTTTGGTGATCTTGAGAAAGGCAGAACTTGTAAACACTCCATGGAGAGAGGTGAAGAAGACAAAGCTGAGCAGATCAACCGGTCCCCACAAGGCTGCATTTTCCTTAAAAGTGGGCCCCATGATGTAGGAAAAATAAGGCCACCCACACACACACATACTATGTCTCTATCCTTGTGGGGACTTTCCATTGACTTCCATTCATTTTTTGGAAATTTTATATCCTAACCCTGACCATTTACCCTAAAATTAACCTCACAGCATTTAGCACGAGTTTATTACATTTTGAAGCTTGATTTTATTATGTTATTACATAATACGTTTTTGAACAAAATGAGGTCTTACAAGGTAGAATCTCTCTTTTTTTGTACAGATAATCTGATAAATGAATAAATATATTTACTCTGTAATATTTTAATCCAAAGAAAAAAGAATAAATGTAATAATTGTATGAAACACTGATTTCTGATCAGATATTACAAAAATTAGCCATCTAAAAATAAGTTAAAACTACTAGATTACACTCTGAATCTTTTTAAATTAATAATTAACAATCTGCAGTTTGACAGTTGCATTTGGTTAGATGAACAGTTTTTGCAGTAAAGTGACTGACTACTGCTTAAAAAATTAAAAAAGCTTCACTTTGAACCTGGTCAGGACTAATTCAGAGTTAGTTTCAAAGCACCTTTTACCATAGAAACATAGGTGCTTCCTCTCCCAAACCAATTCAAAGCTTAATTAATTCAGGTTTACACCAAAGTCCTGGCTTAATCCCTTATTCTAGATTTGTGCAAAAGTCTCTACAGAATTCAAAACACAACAGAGGATCAGGATCAGTCCTATACTGCAAGAAATTTTTAATATGGAGCGATGAGGCTCAGAGTTGGCTCTCTGTCTGTGGAAAACCCAACTGGTTCTAAACCTTATTATGAAAGAATCGGTTAAGAAGCAGCTTTATAACCAGCCCTGGTGTAGTATAGGAATCCCTCTTTTAGTCCTGTCTCTTTCTGGACTCACCAAATCAGACAGGACCTTCATGATTAAAGGATGCCTTAAACAGTAACCTCCACAGTAACATGGCAAGGGAGTAATAAATMTGGGAATAAAGTCCCTCTAAAGTTTATCAAAGACTTCTAGATAAATATGACAGCTTTTTTTCTTTTTCACATCTGAAAGTACATTTGTTTAGACATTTTAAAACTCCGACAGGGCAAAAACTTCAGTCATTTTGGTAAAGGAAAAGGCTAATGATGATGACATTTTACTGTTTAGCTGGCTTTATCTATGATCATCTTGAATACCGTATAACCCAGCTGGTGTAGATTTTTAGTCATCTAGGACATGGTTAATCCAAATATATATATAAAATAAAACAAAAATGGAGTTTTGTAGCTGAAGACATTTTGTTTGATCTGCACATGAACCTAGCTTAAATAACAACACATCTCTCAAGCTGTTTAAAAAGTTGGAACTCTACACTCTTCACTTATTTATAAATGAGAAAGCTACCGGGAAATTAAATATCTTCAACTCAACAGAATAGAAGTCTATTTGTTTTAGTTTTGTTTTGTTTGTTTGTGTTTGATAAACCTGTCTATTTTTTCATGTTAAGTATAACTGCAGTTTTGTCCAACAACAGAAGCACCATGAAACCTTAGTAGGTTTCAGAAGCACAAAGTCTGCTTACACCAGTTGCATTACATCTATTAGTGTTTTTTCACTGTTTCAACATTCAAAACAGAGGACTCACGTTCAAAGATGAGCTGAAATGCTGAGGCCATTCTACATACATTTTCTTATGTTTTGCCTAACATCAGATCATTTTTCTTTTCAAAAAAGATTCATTTGCTGAGTTACGCCAATAAATACCAGTATAAGAAGCACAGAAGTCACCAGTGTTTTCCTGCTGCAGATATTGACAAGGTGTCTATCTGCAGTGTGGAATGTCACATTGTATTTGAACTGCTTTACTACACTGGATAAAGGAAAACACCAACCACCTGTCTGTACCCATTCTTGTCACACCTCGTCTCCTGTCTGTCTCTTTGCATCATCTCATCTTTTTTTCCTCTGTAACACTCTGCTAGCTCAGGTGCAGAGTTCAGATGCGTCCATTGCCATGCGCGCTGCTCCGCCTGCCTGACGTGGGGTGGGAGGTGTAGTGCAGCTCAGCCGTAGAGAAGCCGGAGGAGTTGGAGGACGAGGAGGTGAGGCCACAGGCTTCACAGGCCAGAGCAAGTTGACGCAGGGCATCCAAGGAATCCATTTTGGCTCCACGAACCAGATCACTCTGCCCCTAAAGCAACACAGGAGACATGGAAACGGAACTAATGTAAAAAGCATGTTGCAACAAAATGTATTTCAAAGTAGTTGCATAGTTGTGGACATCTCAAACCACAATCAAACCCATCTCAATTTAGTTTCTGTAATACTAAAATACTAAAGCTGTATTTTGACGCGTACTGTACATGAAAGCTTTCCTATGTGGCAATAAAACAATCAAGGCTACAGTCCTGAATGTCTACATTTAAAAACCACATCAGTTATAATATTGATTGAAATGACTGAATAACCTTTATTGTCATTGTACAAAGCACAATGAAATTACAGTTCAGAACACACATTCACAAGTAGACAGAACATAAAACATAACAGAACATAATMATTTAAATAATACTTATTTAAAAATGTTCCATGTCTGAATTTTTTGATTTCAAAAATGTTCATCAGTAGATACGTTATTCATAAATTAAAGCTCTAATTTTATTAAAGATCTTAATGTTCCATATATTATAACAGAGGACTTTGCTATAAAACTGCAGGTTTACTTGTGGTTCCTAAAGCTTTCAAAACTAGTACAGGAGACAGAACTTTCAGTTATCARGGTCCTCTTGTGGAACCAACTTCAAGATCTTGTTCGTGAGATTGACAACTTGTCTAATTTAAGATTAGACTGAAGACTTTCCTATTTGATAAAGTAGTTGATTTGGGTTTCCTGAGCTATCTTTTAGCTATGGTCCTGTATGCTTAAGTTTGGGCTATCCTTCAATACGACATGAGACAGAGAGTTGATGACAGAGAGTATAAATGATCATAATTCCTCCATTTGCCCTCCCACATCTCATAGATGAGTATAGAAACGACAATAGTGATGGCTGGATTTTTTTTTTCCACTCAATGAGTGAACGTGTGTTGGGTGAAATATTTATTTTTCCTTGTTAACGGTGGTGATGGAAAAAA